CACAGTAACCGAGAACAGTTTTTGAGACCAGACAAACCGCCAGTGAAGAACGTTTAAATTCACTGCAGAAACATCACAAATCTCAAACGATGCTCTCCCAATTCTTAGGATTTATCGTCGTTGAAAAATGCTGATCGGCAATCACCACCTGGGCACTATTGCTAGTGAAGAATTAGCGATGCTAGTTTTGTTAAATGTGGTTTCATTGAGATAAATGAGAATTTACAATCAGTCGTTTCAACTCCCTAGAATGCCTGGACAGGGTTAAGTGCGATGGTGATTCTACGATGCACAAGATGCAGGTGTGCGAGGACGATCAGCATTTTTTGATACATTTAATGACCTACCATCTTCGGCTGAATTGGCATGTCTGACCTATTTATGCCAAAATAAATTATTTTTAATTACCTAGAAAGAAAGCCACACAACACTACAAAAACCGAGACCTCACAAAGTAATAATGAAATTGTGAAACGCAATAATTTAATGATAAAACTGGACTTGCTGGAATGGCAGGTGAATTGCAGTTTGCCTTAGAGGTTCCTGTAACGGACGGATCAATCCATAATTCACAAATGTATTCAAATACGATCAATACATACAAAACTGCACATGAAAAAGAAAAGCCCTCAAGAAAAATGTAACATTCAACCCAAAACTCACAGCAGATCAGCTGCAGCACTGCTTGTTGATCCAGCCTGTGTAGGTGGCGGTCTTCGTACCTGAAAGCAGAGTTCTACATTATTTCTGTAACACAAACTTTGATGGCTTTCGAATTGATCTGATAAATACATACAGCGGAACCTCCTGGAGGTGGAGGGAGCAAGGGCACACTGCCACCAACTGGAGCAGGCTGTGGACGTGATCGAGCGGGCAACGGTTGACCATCAGGACCCTTCTTCTAAATATATCTTTGTTCAAATGTAAACCTGGCTACGAGAACGACCTCCCATCTTTGTGTTCCACAACTTCGAGAGACTGTGAAAAAACACCATGACAATTGAATGAAAACTGCATGTCAATGATGAACTCACAAGTTTTATGGAAATAGTCTGGCCTTCCTTGAACGCTAAATCGAGACTGGGCTGCGGAACATTTATTTGTTGCTCGAGCTCAGCGGACTTTTCAATGTATTTGAAGTGATCCTGCAAAATCGCAGTTTTATAAGCCATGAATCATTCCTAGAGAAACAATATAATAAACATGATAGGATATTGTATGGATACCTGCAGAGCAACGTTCAG